ACACTTCAATTCTCAGTCATTTTCAATCATCACTTCAATTCTCAGTCATTCTTGATTACTGACTCTCAGTCATTCTTGATAATTACTACAATTCTCAGCTATTCTCAATCACTGATTCTCAGCTACTATGAACATGTATATATTCTTTCACCTCAAAGCTTCACCATGTACATCATCACATACATGTATAAATATTCATCTTAATTGCTGATTCTCATACTTTCTCTTTCTTTTCTTCTCTAGCGTTTTTATCTTTGTTATATAAGATCTATCAATATTATACTGATCTAATTGGCGTAGGCCTCTTACACAAAGTATTAGAAGATATTAAAATACTGTAATTTATAAAGAGTTTTTATATTCTGAGCTGAAATTTTCTGATTTTATATATCTGAAATTAGTAAATGTATAATAGTTAACTCTATAGATATTAGAAAAACTCTGAGAACTTTTAGTTCTCAGGTAAATATTATAGTCTATGACTATATACATCTATAATTAAACTGACTGCTGAGATCATGAATTTCATGTTTAATCTTATTTGATCTGATCTCATACATTTCTTAGCATGAATTCTGCTAAAACTGGCTATCAAAAAACCATGCAAAGTGACTATATATCAGATTTTAAAATGAAATCATGACATGAAAAAAATGAGAAAGTGATCTCATTTAATCTCATTTAGTCTCATTCTTAGCATAAAGTTACTATTTTTAGACATTTTAAGGTTTCTTTTAGACTATTTTTAATTTTTTAAAAAGTAATGCTTTTTGATAACACTTAAATGAGATTTAAAGTCATTTAAAGCAATAAAAATAATTTAAATTGAGAAGTGAAAATCATGATCTCATTTGAAAAATGTGATAAGAGTAGACAGTAAGTTTCACTGAGACAGTATAAAACTACTATCTAATGTTAAAACTGTGTAATGGGATCAGTTAAATTGATAATGAGACTATCAAAAAATCTGGTCCTGGTCTCAGATATGATCACATGATCAGTCTATCTATAATTGAAGAATAATAATAATAATAATAATAATAAACAATTGACTACAGTGTAATTCTTCTATAAAAATGTGTATAAGAGACCTTATTAAAAGAAAAATCATGAACATCCACGCTATAACCTGTACATGGGAAAGGTTAATCTGTTTTATTTGTGTGGGAAGTGCTAGCTATGTTATATAACATAAGAGATCACGTGCAGGCGGAGCGATCGCTAGGGCAACGCCACCAAGGCGGCCGCCGCTACATAACCATCCCAAGTAATCACCAACACCTACCCTAATCACGTGCCACTCAACTTACCCAACTTATATATAGTTTCACCCTAGATAGATTATAGATGACAACGTTATCCTCTAACACATTTTACTCGGAAAAGTTGGTTTTTCTATAATATATAGAGAGAAATGGGTTGTGATTGGTGGGCCGACGGCGAGCGAGCTGGGAGGATGCGGCGGTGTGATTGGCCTGGGAACGCCGCAGCAAAGCGCTTTGGCTTTCCGGGGCCCGAGAGACAAGACAGCGCGGAGAAAAGAACAATACTACGGTACCGTACCTTGCTGCTTATATATCTGCTGGCCACCACCATCTCCTGTGTACATATGTATATACCCCGCTCGTCTGGCTATATTAATTATTCTATATTCCTGTATATCCTCCTGTATGTCGAGCGCATTCTTCGTCTCTCTCTATCTCTCTCTGTGTCACTAAGCTATTTCCCCCCTATTTAGCCGCCATGGCCGCCCGTCGTGCCGTTGCCCGCTCTCTCCCCACCCTCACCGCTCGCTCCGCCAGCTCTCCCCGCATCCCCATCACATCCGTCTCCGCTCGCAGCATAACCACCACCAGCACCAGCACCAGCAGAATGGCCTCTAAACTCCCCACATCGCACGCTGCCCTCCGCAGATTACACGCCACAGCCCAGCAGCTGAGCCCTGCCTCTGCCGAAGCAGCTGCCCCGTACCCAGCGGAGAACTATCCCATGAGCCACTCCCCGCTCGCCTCCCCCGTCAACACCTGCAACTTCATCGATAACAAATTCCTCCCCTCCAACGCCAGCACCTGGATCGACCTGCACGACCCCGCCACCAACAACCTCGTCACCCGCGTGCCCCAGAGCACCGAAGCGGAGCTGCGTGCCGCCGTCGAGAGTGCTCAAAAAGCCTTCCCCGCATGGCGCGCCACCAGCATCATGGCCAGGCAGCAGATCATCTTCAAGTTCACCAACCTGATCCGTGCGAATTGGGATCGTCTGGCTGCCAGCATCACCCTGGAGCAGGGGAAAACCTTTGCTGATGCCAAGGGTGATGTGCTCAGGGGTCTGCAGGTTGCGGAGACGGCGTGCGGTATCACCACCCAGCTTACGGGCGAGGTGCTGGAGGTCGCTAAGGATATGGAGACCAGGAGCTATAGAGAGCCCTTGGGTGTTGTTGCCGCTATTTGCCCTTTCAGTATGTCATTTTTTAATTTGATTTTTTATTTCTCTCTCTTGAAATACTTTTGGCAAGCCAGGAATGTCAAATTTACTTTTACTAGATTTCCCTGCTATGATTCCCCTCTGGTCCATCCCTACCGCTACTGTAACCGGCAACTGCTTGATCCTCAAGCCATCCGAGCGTGACCCCGGCGCTGCGATGATCCTCGTTGAGCTGGCTAGAGAAGCCGGCTTCCCCGATGGAGTCATCAACGTCGTACACGGCTCTGCCAAAACCGTCGACTTCATCATCGACGAGCCCGCCATCAAGGCCATCAGCTTCGTCGGCAGCAACCGCGCAGGTGAATACATCTTCACCCGCGGCTCGGCCAACGGCAAGCGAGTCCAGGCTAACCTGGGAGCCAAGAACCATGCTGCCGTCCTCCCAGACTGCAACAAGAACCACGCCCTGAACGCCATCACCGGTGCTGCTTTTGGCGCTGCTGGTCAACGATGCATGGCATTGAGCACCCTCGTGATGGTCGGAGAGACCAAGGAGTGGCTCCCGGAGATCGCTGAGCGGGCTAAGGCTCTGAAGGTCGACGGTGGCTTCGAAGAAGGTGCCGACTTGGGCCCCGTCATCAGCCCTCAGAGCAAGAAGCGGATTGAGGACATCATTGCCAGCGCTGAGGAGGAGGGTGCCACGATCCTGCTTGATGGGCGCGGATATAAGCCTGAGAAATATCCTAATGGTAACTGGGTATGTAACATGAGAATTACTTCCCCTACTGCTATTTTTTATCATTCTGTATGTTCATTTTTTGGTGGTTAGCTAACACGGTGCAACAGGTCGGCCCCACCATCATCACCGGCGTAAAGCCACATATGCGCTGCTACACCGAGGAGATCTTCGGCCCCGTCCTCATCTGTCTCGAGGTCGAAACCGTCGACGACGCCATCTCCCTCATCAACGCGAACGAATACGGTAACGGCGCTGCCGTCTTCACCCGCTCCGGTCCCACCGCCACCAAGTTCCAGCGCGAGTTGGAGGCCGGCCAGATCGGTATCAACGTGTAAGTTTCTGCTCCCCGTTTCCGCAAATCAGAATAACCTCATATAACAAAACATGGACGATAACTAACAAATGTACTTTTCTTTTTCTTGATACACCAGACCCATCCCCGTCCCCTTGCCCATGTTCTCCTTCACGGGCAACAAGAAGAGTGTCGCAGGCGGCGGCGCGAGCACGTTCTACGGCAAGCCTGGCTTGCAGTTCTACACGCAGCAGAAGACGGTGACGAGTCTGTGGCGCAGCGAGGATGCGGTTAATACAAAGGCGAGCGTCGTGATGCCTACACAGGGTTAATTTCTTTTATGTTTTGTTACTTTGCACTGGTTTTTTCACTTTCACTTGTATTCTCTTGTTTGTGATAGCATATATATATATATAAAAGATTTTTCTATTTGTGTTTCTATATATATATGCTCTGGCTTCCAGTTCCGCGTTTACTTGATCTTGATAAGACTGCACAGCGCGTAAGTTTTAACGCAGGTTCTGCTGACATTTGTTCTCTCTTGAAACGAGACCGTCTGGTGACAGGCACACGTTTCTATGCCTCGACATACTTAGGTTATGTCTGACGTATACCAACGCACATATATATATATATGGATGACGAGGAGAGGGTGAGGTGAGTATGGAGGGAGGGGGGATTGGGGGGATAAGAGATAAGAGTGAAATGAAAAAAAAAATAAAAAAAAATAAAAAAAAACAACGAAGGAGTGGGAGTGATGTGCGTTTTTCTATATACCCGCGTTAATTCCTTTCTTTATTTTATTTTTTTTTTCTCTTCGTGAAAAGGCTGTCGACTGTTATGCCCCTTTCTTTTGAAAATGGGAGATTTTGTTGGGGGGGCGGGGGGGTGTTGAGCGATATGAAGCGAAAATGGTCAAGGGGTCGTTTTGTCGAGAGCTGTGGTTGTGGTTGTGGAGAGGAGAGAAGAGAAGCCAAGTTCTGGTTTTCCTTACTTGCTGGTCCTCGATTTTATTTTGTGTTCATGGGGTTGGTTTTGTTTTTGATGATTTGGACAGATTGGATCTGCATATTTACACAGTTATATTTATGAATGTACACATTTTACAACAACACTGTAGATACATATGTGTAGTGTAGTGTAGTGTAGTGCAGCGTAGTTTATGCAGGTATATACAGCGCAAGCACACGTAACATAAATAATATGCGTAATAAAAGAAAAGCCGGAAAGGAAATGAAATTAATATTTGGAAGGGAAAAAAAAAAAAAAAAAAAAAAAACAAAGGAAATAAGAATCACCCAAGCTCTTCTCTATCATTAAAAGAAAGACAACAGGGCTCGCTATCTCAATTGGGGGCGTGGGTATGTAGTAGTAGTAATAGTGCAATTGTATCTTGCTTGGTTCATAAAATGATATTCGACAAGACAATACGGAGTACACCGTGCAACAGAAACAAAATGCGAACGAGATTTCATTCCCTGACATATATATTATCCATATATCGGTACCGGCATATAAAACGTCCCATTGTATCCTCCTATCCTCTTACTCAGTACTCTCGCTCACGAAGGTATAGACCAGCCGGACCATCTCGATCTGGTCGCCCTTCGCGACGACGATGCGGCGCGTGTACCGTCTGACGCCATCGACCATCTCGAAGCCCCAGACCTAGATCACGGTGTTAGCATCAGATATAGATAGAGAAAAGAAAGAAAGAAAACAAAGGAAAACCCCCACCTGCTCCCCCGTCCACCCATTCTCCTTACTCCGCACCCAACTCTGCACAAACTCCTCGTTCTCCGCATCAACCACAAACCCGTCCGTCAGATCGCCGTTCGCCAGCATCTCCCCGCGCAGGAACTTAGCCACGGTCACATCCTTGTCTGCATCGCCCGTCTTGGTCTGCACGTCGACGTCCGGCAGTCTCTTGCCTTCGGAGCCGGCCGCGCCCGCTCTGAAGAACCGGCTCTGGCCCGTGAGGTCGCCGAAGATGTGGTCGGTGTGGTCGCGCTCGGACCAGTCGAGGACGCGGTGCTCGGAGGTGCCCTTGACGCCGCCGGTGAGGACCTGGTCGATGGCTAGCTCGGTGACGCCCTGGTCGTTTTTCGTCTGTTTGATTTTTAAGGTTACGGTGGCGAGGCCGATGGCTGTGCGGGTGAGCCACGACATGCCTTGCTGTGAGATGGGGGTTGGTTAGATGTTGTGTTTTTTCTTCATTTTCTCTCTCTCTCTCTCTCTCTCTCTCTCTTTTTCTTTTTTTTTTCTTTTTTTTTTTTTTCTATTTCGGCTTTTTCGTATGTAAAAAATGTTGTATGCTAACGGTGTCAGAGGGGGAGCTATCGGCTCACCAGTTTGAAGATGCCATCGGGGTCGTTGGAGATGGATTTATCCTGGGGTTAATCGTTAGTATTCTTTTATTTTTATTTTTATTTTTATTTTTTATTTTTGATTTAATATAGTATATGGAATAAATAAATAAATGCATACCATAACCCAAGTGCCATTGAGGTTGTGCATGGTGACGGTGGTTGGAGCAGCCATTTTTGTAGAGGTATGTATGCACAGTGTTATGTGTGTGTGGGGGTGTGTATTTGAGAGGGTGGGTGGTTAGTTATAGAGGGGGTAGCTGGAGGGGTTCAAGGTGGAAAATAAGAAGTAATATGTTCGTTTCAATCTGGAAGACGAAAAGAAAAGAAACGAAGAAAAAGCAGACAAGAAGAACACGAGGGGATCAGGAGATTGATATCTTATGTGTAGAAATCGATTCGAGGCGCGGGGGGGAGAGTTTGTTGCTGCGTCTGAGCCTCGGAAGTCGCATCGTTTGCAAGAAGAAGAAGAAGACCCCTTCATGCACCGTACATACATACATAACATTAACTTACATACATACATGTGGGAGAAACCATAGCATAGGGCCGAAAATAATAAAGAGCAAAAAATTGACGACCGTGATTGCCATTTTTCTTGCACATGCTAAAACCAAGGCACCAACCATCCAGCTCCCGATCTCGTAACCACGTAACTAACGTAACAACACCACACCCCCGCCGCCGCCCGTTGGAATTTCAACTGGGCTAAACAAGTGGGATGGGACGGGATGGGGGGTGGAGAGTCTGGTCCTTCTCTTCCCTTCCTCTGCTCTTGGACAAGATGATGCTTGCATGAGACGCCGTTCAGGTTTACGCTCGCCCTAGACGGGGGGTTCGATCGGATGGAGTAGTGTAGTGTAGTGTAGTGTTCTCTGTTCTCTGATTTCTCTGCCTGTGATAATAATACCGATATGATAATAATAATACAGCCTATAACTTAGCTCGTTGTGTTCACTTGCTGCTTTCATGATACATAACTAGTTAGTTACTACTTAAATACTTTACACATGTGCCACCAGCTACCAGCTCTCCCAACCAGGCCAGCCGACTCCTGACTTCTGACTCCTGAGAGTTGATGTTGCACATGCAGGTCTACCTGCTACTACGTTAGTAGCAATTAATGGTGTAACTACTGTACTGCCACGACGACTGCTCGCTCGTAACCCACCGAGATAGGCACTGGGGTTAGTGACGCGATGAATGTTTTGAATATTCAATAATGGACAATCCTCCCCCTCTCTCTATCTCCCCATCATAATATCTTCGTTCTTGAGCATGCAAGACTAGCCATGTGAATCGCGCCTGTTTGTCTCAGGATAGAGAAAAGGGCGTCTGTCCGAAGTCACCAACAGCGAGTAGGCATGTGTTCTTCGTCCGCCAATTGAACGGTGTGTGCAGAGTACGGATGTGAGAGATCACTATAGGAACGATATTGTGAGCATATAATAATAACACATTTATTATTAGGTGAAGCCTGTATTCAACAAGAGATGGCAAAACACTGGACAGACAACTGAGCGCTGATTCTGTCGCTGTTGAGGAGGCATTCAATTCTCAAGCGAGCTATTCTTCTTGATCAAGAGAAATAAAAATAAGTAAATAAATAAATAAATAAATCCATCCATCCATCCATCCATCCAGCTAAATACCCTACTCTATATATCAAACCGGACTGATCGATCGTCTTCCGTTGTGATTGAAATGTTTCCCCATCCATCCCACACCACGTGACAATGATGGCTCTCCTTCCAAGGTTAACTTCAAGCCTGTAAGCGAGAGAGTATTACTATTATGCAGACACATCAAACCAACAACAACAATAGGAGCAGGAGGAGACACAGACTTCAACAGGCTATCTCCAGGACAGACAGACGGAGGAGGGCCCCGACATCGCGCAAACGATAATATCTACATGCCACAATGGCTTTCAACAAGAAATACGCTGGGCTGCCCGATTTGGTGCGATATATATCCTTCCCCCTAGCCATAAGCTTCGGTGCCTCGCCTCTGCTAACCATGGATTCTTTATACTTATCTTCAACCAGGATTTGGCTCCAGATATCTACGAAACCCCTGAGCTCACTGACGGGTCTACTCTGGCTGTAAGATGCCCAATTTACACAAAATGCCTGTATCGGCGGGCGAGCTGCTCTATCCTTGGGTTTTAAAAAAGCCTGGTCTAACCAGTTCTCCAGACTGCCACCGTCCGCTCCCCGTCTCCTTTCCAAGATGAATCAACCAGCCCGGAAATTGACCGTCAGCGTCTTCAGCCAGACCAGGCCCGATCACACTTCCTCTCGTCGCGTTTAGATACTCGCGGGGTCGACTTCTCTGACAGCATTGCGTCCAAAAGGACGTCATACAAGGCGATGAGCCGGCGAAGACAGCGGCGGGAAGATGGGACAGAAATCTTAGGAGACGTCAGCGACGAGGAAGACGAGTCTCTAGAACGGAAATTAGCCAGGTTGCGCAGAGAAGCGGAGGAATTAAAAGAAGAGTTGGCTACTCGGAAGGCCGCCCAACGGGATACGCAGACCACCACTGGTGCTGGAGATTCAGCGGAGGGTGACCACCAACACCAGGACGACCTGGACAATGGCGTGCTGGAGCTAAGTCGGGCGTTGGACAGTCTCCATACCTCTTCACGAGGCGGCGCAGGCCCTATGACTGCGGAGGAGATACTTTCGCAAAAGTTAGGAGGCAGCATCCCGCCCACCGTCCACGCCGCAAAGCAACGAAATGAACTGCTCCATGGGCCTCAATCCAATATCCCTGCTGGTCTCCTATCCAACGCTGCCGCCTTCGACGCTCGTCTTACCTTACTCGAAGCAGCTCTAGGCATCCCAAACACCCCAATCCCTCACTCCGCAGATGACTCCGCGGGTCCCCAGCCAATCCTCCCCGCCCTCAACCACCTCACCGTCCAACTATCCACCCTCTCTAGCACTCTAACCGGGCCCTGCGCTTCCATCCCCAGCCCTCAATCCCACCAGCCCCAACCCACCACCGTAACAACCCCACACCTTGAAGCCCTAACAACACGCATCCGCAAACTAACCGCCGACGCCGACGCCCTCTCTTCCGCCCGCCGGCGCGCAACCGAAGCAGCCCGCGCCGTCATCGCCGCCCGCATCGCCGCCGCCACAGCCGACGACCCCGCAGGAGCCACCATCGCATCAGCAACGGCACACACCCCAGCCACCACCGCCCCAATGACAATAACCGACCACCCCGCCGCCGGCGCCCCCTCCCTCTCCTCCCTCTCCGCCACCGAAACCGACTCCGCCGCCAGCGAACAAGCCGCCAAGATCCAAGCCCTCTACACAACCCTGCCAACCATAACCTCGCTCCACCCCTTACTCCCTAGCGTGCTGGAGCGGCTGCGCTCGCTGCGCGCGATCCATGCGGGCGCGGCGCGGGCGGCTGAGGACCTGGATGCGTTGGAGGACAGGCAGGCGGAGATGAAGAGGGAGATTGAGCAGTGGCGGGAGGGGTTGGCGGTTGTGGAGGGGAAGGTGAGGGAGTGTGAGGGGGTGATGAAGGGGAATATGGAGGTTGTGGGACCGTGGGTGAAGGGCTTGGAGGGGAGGTTAGAGGGGTTGGGGGGGTAAGGGGATAGGGGGTTAGGGTTTTTTCTTTTTTTCTTTTTTCCTTTAATATACATTATCTAAATATCCCTATCCTAGTCATTTGTTCGTGTCTCCTTTTAGGAGTGTGGTATCATTTGGGATGGGGGTTGGATTTTGGGTTGGATTCTTCGTTGTTCTTTTTTTATTGATGTTGCTAGGCATCTATCTCATCTACCTCGTGATATTTCAAAATAATGCATGAGATTCATCTCATAAAGGCGACCTTGCGTTACTCGTTTTCGTCACACTCTATATGTTTATTATCCCTTTTTGTTTCTTTTCTTTGCTCAATATACCCTAGACAATCCCCCAGAGCGAAGAGCTTAACTTCCTCCCATTAGAGGGTCATTATTAAATCACCCCCCCCAAATGAAAAGAACAAACAACCAAGTTAGTCCCAGCATAGAATAGCATGAATACCCCAGGTATATAAACCAGAGAAACAAATCTAATCCCGAAAATCCTAAAACTAAAAGAAAACAAAATATCGAATCACAAAACACGCCTCAAAACCCTAATCTTCGGCACGATGCGCACCTCCACCCACCAGCCCCTTGTAACATACTTCCTCCCGAACCCCTTAACCCACCTCCAACCATCTACAGCCTTCCCACCAAACACCTTCCCTAAAATCTCCTCCTCAAACCCTCCACTAACCTCCCCTTCACCAGGCCTCAAAATCCTCACCCCTCCAAACCCAGTAATCTCATCAACAACCTCCCATCGACCAGGTCTATCACGATCACTCTCACCATCACCATCACCATCCCCAACCTCGACAAGCAAATAATCAAAACTTGCCCAAAACCTCTCCACCCTCGCCTTCTCCATTTCTATAACACTGCCCGCACTTGTCTTATCATACACCCACCTCTGCTCCCCGCTCCGGAGCTCCGGATACCTCCCATCAGGGGACCCGGGGAGGATGATGAGCGGTGATTTCGGCGGGGGTTTCTGTAGGAAGCGGGTTACGCCTGTTTGACAGGCGAGGTTATCTAGGTGGACGGAGATGGTTTGTTGGTCTGCGAGGCGGGTGGAATTATTCTTAATATTGTTATAAGGGTGGTTATTATGTAGAGCCTTCAGGGCGTATGCGCCCGGGTAATTTGCGGCGGAGATGGGGAGGAGGAGGAAGGTGGAGAGAACGAATGTGGTTAGGGTGGATAGGCAGAGGAGGGTTGCGAGAAGGGGGTAGAGGATGTGGGTTTTTGTGCGGTGGGTCCAGATGTAGGAGGCGCCGAGGGCGGCGGCGGTAGTTATGGGCGGGATTGTATAGAGGATGAAGCGCCATTCTTTGTGCGGTTGGAGGCTGTAGAGGAATATGTAGGATATGGCGGGCAAGAGTAGGGAGGTTGCTGTACGGCGGGTGGCAGGCTGGAGGATGGAGAGCGGGATGCAGAGAGCGTAGGTTATGGGGTTGAGGAAGAGACGGGGGAGGGCGTTTGTGAGGTAGAAGTGCCAGGGGGAGGTGCCCCAGGCGGAAGCGTGGCCGGAGACGACGTTGTATTTGAAGGCGGCGAGTTCAGGCCAGAGGGGGAACTTTTGCCAGAAGATAGAGTCGGTGGTGATTGTGGTGAGGAGGCCGATTGTTAGGCCGGATATGGCGGCGGGGAGAATCTCGCTGCGGAATGATATGCGATTTTTGGCCCAGAGGTGGATTGTTGTGGTTGCGAGGAGGAGGGCGATTTCTGAGCGGAAAATGATGCCTGTGATGGTGAGGAGGTAGAGGGAGAGACGGCACCTCTTGCGGGATTGGACGTCTTGTACTGTTGAGGCGGGCTCGGGGAGGAGATATCGGAATGCAAACGTGGCTTTGAATTGAATAAGTTTAGCATCATCCATCATGGCTGGTAAGGGCTAGATATAGGGGGGAAAAAAAGGGGGGGGAGGGGGGCGGCGGGCGAAGATTGGGACATACTGATACCGAAAGCAAACATGTTCGGAAGGGTTCGAGAGGCATAATACATGACATGGAACTGACTGGCTTGGAATAAAATATACCAGACCGCAACATTCTTGCCGAATGCCCGCCGAACTCCCCTGGCGTAAGAGATAAGTACAAGCGCATTAAAGCATCCCACCACGCCGCGCACTTGAAGTCAGAAGTTAGCGGTTAAGCAGTACTCAAAGAGCAATTTTCCACATAGCGGTTTTCTGTAACTTCGTACCTACTAATTGTCTATCAAGCTGCGAATTGACCCATAGAATTGGCTTTGCTGTGCCCGCGACAGCCAACGCCCCGACAAAGGTGCGCGGGACGGCGCCGGGGAAGGAGAAATGATCGTATTGTGCGCGGAGCCTGTTGGCCACATTCTTGGACGGAATCCCGTAAGTTAGGATGTCGTGGATCGCTTGGATATTGAAGGATTCCTCGACCTTTGTATAGGGGGAAACGTAGAGGTGGAGGAGGACGAGCGCCGGAAAGAGTGAGAGCAGAAACCAGTCTGCAGCTGATGGTCAGCAATTATTTATTGATGATAGTTTTGGATATGTTAATTATGCCTATATGATACGCAGAATATACACCACTCACCTGTCAGTCTCGCCATTGTCTGTTCCTGTGGTGGTTATCTCTATCCCAACGAGGAGCTGAGGTTTGTTGTTGGCGGCAGAAAACAAAAGGAGTGTCGTCACCACATGTTCAATTTCCTGTTGTCAACTTTTCCCCGTTCACACCGCATTCCTCACTTCTTCACTCAACCACGCCCTCCCACACGCCGCTACACCCTCGCATCAGACGCGAGAGCGGTCGCCTTACTCCAGACAACTCCCCATCCATGCGCAGATAACCCACCGCCGGCCGCTAAAAGGACACCATGTTTCTCTTCGGTCTGGGGAAGCTCATTTACGGTACGTGGATTGATAGCTAGCTGTCCGCGGACAAATTTCCCAGGCGTAGCATACATACATAGCACGCAGCAGTGCATATACATGTATCTATCTTTTACAACAGGGGAACCCTAAGCTAACGCGAAAACTACTTCTTTCCACAGTCATCGTCCTAACCATAAACGCCATCGCTATCCTCTCAGAAGACCGCTTTTTGGCCCGCAGTAAGCATCCCATCTCCGCGCGCGCTGCTCCCGAGAAAAATACACGTGGTGCACACACGTATCTGGATAAATATATAGATACAAAAAGCTCAGACTGACACGCCGTAATACATAGTTGGTTGGGGCCGTACACAGTACGATCCCGGCTTTGGCGCGGCCCCCGATAACACAAGCATCAAAGCGAAATCTGTCAATCTAATAGCAAGTGTGCGGACGGTTATGAGAAGTACGTTTCAACAAGAGTGTTTTATTTATTTATTCCTTATCTTACCCCAGTTCCCTTCCTTCTCATTCCCATTCTCAGATTGCGGATATTGGGTGGATCATCTGCTGACACAGGAGGCCTTCCTAGTTCCCCTGATCGTAATTAACCTAATAATCATAACTTACGAAATTATCTTGGGATAGAAAGGGAGAAAAGCAAGCTGGGAAAGAGAAGGGAGGGGGATATAGGGCAACAACGGGATTTTTTACTTTTTCATTTTTACAGAGCGGGACATTTCAAAGAACCTTTTAATCAGATCGTATATACGAATTTTCTTTCTTATCCTGATATCCCCTTACCAATTTCCTCCGACTTTCATAACATCTACCTACCCTCCTCCGCCAATTTATATTCCTTCAAACCTTTTTCACGACATCTGCTGAGGGAGCATGAAACAACTCACCCACCTGCCACACACTTCACCCACCAAAGTGTAGGCGGTGTCTGTATGGCATGCGGCTAGCTAACCTTAAATACCTCACTAAGCATACCCTTATCAATTGTTGGAGGGATGCGCGCGACGAAGAGCACCAGCGCCTTTTTACTTCCAGAAGTATTAACTAAAAGCACGTAGAAGGATAGTGATAGATAGGAGGCATTGGCATGAATTTTTCGTATTCTGACAGGGGGGAACATCCACTGCAATATAGGAATTAGATCATGGAGACATTTCCCCACCCGCCAGCGCTCGTGGTTAGTTATTTGATATGAAACGAGAGTTGGGTATAGAATTGAGGATCATCTTCCTCCGCCTCCTCCATTTAGCCAAGCAAGCATAGGTAAAAGCGACTAAATATAAAGCAGGATGGTTGAAATTGAGCAGAATTAAGGTAGGAACAGAACTGCTCACTTAAAAAAGAAAATAAACGAAAAAAGGGGCAAAAAACCCAAAAAACCAAACCGTTCACTAGAAATAAATAGCCTACCTAACCAAAGACAAAGCCAAACTAGCCCAAAGTCAAGTTATAGAAGAAATATCAAAGAAGACAAGATATAGGAAATAAACAAAAATGTGGAAAAAAAAAAAAAAAACAAAAACAAGTTCTACACGGAACAGAAAGGAATGAAAAAAGACAGCTAGCTAACCTGATAGATGTTTATGTACAGCAGAGACCAGGCAGAAAAATAAATAAAAAAAAGAGTAAGAGGAGACAAGAAAGAAGATTTAAAGCTATATGCAAAAAATAGATTTAAGGGAGTAGAAGGGAACAATGCTGGACATTAGGACATAAAAAACAAATGCCACGTCCCTCCTTTGGCCGCCTTGTTCAATTCCTACCCCTCTTTTTTTTCCAATGACAGGTGACGTTAGATGGCGCATGCGATCATATACATATACATATATGCAAGAAACTGAAGCAGAAGAAGAAAAATTGAGGGAGGGCACATGAGAGAGGCAGGAGGAAGGATTTAGGAGCGCGGAGAAATGTGAGGACAGAGCCGACTTTAAGAAATATCACTAGCTAGATAAAAGGAGGGGTCGTGGACGTGAAATGCATCCTATCCTGCCCAAGCCCAGAGCGATGTAATGTAGACTACAAAGAATTATATCACGCTGAACGATTTCTTTCGTAAACTGAACCGGCTGCGCTTTGATGTTGCATACTGCAGCGGCTTCCCGTTATTTTTATTGACGCTGCCGGTGCCATTGTAGGTTGGATTCTGATTTTGACTTTGAGCGTGGTCGTAGCTGTGAGTGTGAGCATGGTGGCTATGGCTGTGATCGTTGATGTTATTGGTATTGGTATGGTCACTGGTACGGTTGCTGTTGTTTGGGACCTCTCGCTGCCGAATCTTCATATTATTGAAGAAGCTTGATGCGTTTGGTCGTATTTTTGGGGTTGCGCTGCCATCATCTTTGTTACGGGTGGTGGAGTCCGTTGGCACGGGGGAGGATACTTCTTCCTTCAAAGGCCAATTGTTAGCTAGGCTACTTTCCGCAGCTAGACTTCTAGGACCTAGATCGGGCGATGGGAGGGCCGGGGACGTTGGAAGTGCGGGCACTGGCGGCGTGTCTGTCGATGATTTTGCGCCCTTTTCTTTTTCCCTGTAATATAATCTACCTTGGCTCAAGCTCCTACTGCCCAGTTTGAATCGACCAAGTCCTCCACCCAATCCTCCAGATTGGCCGTTCTCTTTACCGTTCCGAGCAGCTGCGATGCGTCGGTCCTCCTCAGTCTTAGAAGCTTTACTAAGCTCCAACGCCGCCTTGAGGTCGGCGTCTTGCCGCTTAATTTCTTCCTTCAATCTAGCCTCTAGTTCCTTTCGTTTTTGTTTCTGTGCCTTTTCCTTCTCTTTCTCTGCGGCTTTCCGTTCCCTTTCTTCCTTTGCTCGCTCTTTTTTGAAGGCAGCGTCACTCTTTTTAGAATTAAGGGGGGCCGAGGGGGGCGTCACAGGAATTTGTGGGGGGTGTGGGAGGGGTGCGAAACCAGAGGTCGAATTCTCGGGTTGTGCAGATGGCTGCGGTGCAGTTGGTATTTTTTTCAGGGGCGACGTTACTGCGGAGTCAGTAGCGGGGATTACTGTATGTACGCGATTTATTTCGTCGGAGCCAGTAGCGGAGCCATTCATTCTGGATTGCGAGGCGGAAACTAAATCCTTGGTGTCCACGGATGCTCGATTTTCCGGAGTCATGCCTTCTTTTTCCTGCTCTTTTTGCATCGCTTCGAAAGTTGTTTCTTGGTAGAAGAGCACGTATGCACAGGCTAATCCAGGCCGGTCCCCAAAGAAGTTGCGGACGTAATTCTTGTCAACTGGCTCCACCATCTCGTCGTCGAAAAGCAGCCACCCCCTGTCTTCTGTTTTGATGATGGCAACATAGTGGCCGTGATAAGGCCCACCACCAATGTGGACAACGACAGCATAAAGCTCATAGAGACGATCCGGGTCTTCTGCATCGTCGGTAGTGTTAAATAATCGAAGGTAATACGGGTACACCACTCTATGGAATAGCTTTTGGAGTCTTTGTAAATCCTCGGTGTATTTGAAGCGCTTTAGGTGAAGTGCTAAAATGCGCGGTAATCGTTTAATCTTCATTCGTTTTTCAGCCTCTTGCAGTCCTCCGCAATTGTCGCAATGGAATTTATTCCGTTCACAGAGCATCTCCTCCTCTGAAAACTTTCGTAAGCATGAAGTTACTGACGAATGCTGATCAAGATCGACAGATAGATCTAGAAAAACTTCATCTCTCTGCGATATATTCTCACATGTAAGGCACTGGGTTTCTGAGGTCAAAGTCCCTTCAAAAAGCTCATGCACCCATCGTGTGGTATTCGGTGATTTAGAGGTGTTGGAGGTCGCCAGCGTCGTAGCTACAGACCCTGTGGTTGTGGTATTCACTGACATCTCACCATTCTCCGACTGCTGGTCCAGCTCTGGAGGTGGTGAACGTTTGGCTTCTGCTTCCACATTAGCTACCACTTCGTTTAGCAGTAAATTAAGGAATTCATGTGCGTCCTGATGCATCGCTGTTCTAAACATTTCATGCTCTCGTCGCAAAACTTCGAGAAAGGTGTAAGGCCGAATGACACCCATCCTCTCTTGACTAGCAACTATAGCTTCGAAAATATCTTTCAGTGATGTAAAAAGTGATTCTTGCATCCCATAGCTTGTGGCATTATCTGTTGTTTCTAGAATTGGAAGCCTGTGCATCGCAACTTTTTTCTTATATTCTGGAGAGTCTTTATCCTCTGGCTTTGGCGGTTGTTGCGCCGGAGGAGTTGCTCCACCCTTGGCCGAAGAGTTAGCAGCCGCTTTTTGTTTAGCTTCCTGTTTATCCTCCATTGGCGCATTTGGGTCTGGGTAACGTAAATTTTTTGCGAGGCATTCGTTGAGGCTTTCTATGGGGGAGCGTCTAGGGTAGTTTATAACGGATTCTCGAAAGGGCACTGAATAGTAAAGACATTGGAGGATCGAATTGCAGTAACTATAGCCATCAGCACACGGATGTTACAAGCCGTTGTATGAACGAGCACAATGGGACTAACCATGTATTTCCATACTGAGCCTACATAGTGAAACGAACAAATTTTAGCAACCTTCCGTCTCCCAAAATCAAAAGAAGAGGGGGGAATTCCAGAGCACTCACGTTTTCCATTCCGAAAAATTTATCACTGCCGTCATTCCGCAACGGGCCTGCGTCTTGCAACATCTTCTCAAGCGGCGTCATAGGTAGAGGAAGGATGTCCTTCTTGACCGGAGTGGCCGGAGAGGCTGGAGTACCAGCTCCCTAGAAACACCAAAACATTTTCCAGAGTCAGATACAATAAACAAGGAATAAAATTCCAGGGAAGAGCGTACCGCATTGCCTCTTAACTTGCCAAAGAAGGGCGCCATATCGACAGAGAGCACACGACAACAATGCGACCCAACCCGTCACTCACGGCCGCCGCAGTGCGGCAGACCTTGATCGTCTAGCCCGCGAGAGGGTCTCTAGCAGTTTGCTTTCCACCTGATTGTAAAAAAGGGTTGGGGCTCGATTGAACACGATGCGGGAAGGGAGAAGTAGGGATCGTTGGATATTTCAGGATACCGGAGACTGGGCAATGCTATAAATCGGGGTAGTGGACGGGACACAGAATACCAAGCCCAATTCGCCAGAGAACAAAGCCGTAGTAGGGATCGTATTCAGACCTGCAACGGCGGGGACGGCAAAGGGCTGATTTAGGGTGGGTGAATACGGGGTGGGAGAGTTGTCCGGAGGGACACAAGGAGTGACCGGGAGCGGATTAACCTAGGCTGACAACCAAGAAGGGGGACTACAGCGAGAGACAGATAGATAGCAGCAGGTAGGCGGCACAGGAGGGTGAAAGGAGAGACGAGACAAAGGAGAGACAAATGTCAAGACAGATGTCAAGACAGAGAGGAAGCGGAGCGACGGAGGAGGGAGGGAGAGGAGCGAGACAGACACGGGGAGAGTGGAAGAGAGAGGAGAGGAGATTGGGGGGGGAGGAGAGAGGAGAGAGGAGAGAGCCGCAGTGGGACGGGGGTTACAGGGGAGGAGGTACCTGGCCCGCGGATTTCTGTGGAGGAGGCACTTGCTGGTACCTGCCCCCAGGCGCAAGTTCCCTAGCGGGTGGCTACCAGCCCCCATCCAAGCCTGCCTTAGGCAAAGCGTGGGAAGACGCCGCCACGAGAAACCGACAGCCACCAATGCGTTATCTGCGCACAGAGGCCAGTTCGTTCCCTTACGCCGCATTTAGGTATGGTATGTAAACCCTTTTGTACTGTGCTTAGACTGTCTAGCGCCTATAAGTGATAGGCATCGAATCGCGTGGCTCCCGCGAATAACTACTAAGTTTGCCTAGCCTGTAGCTTGAACGGGAATAGGCATGGAAGCAGTCCTATCCAAGGTCATATTATTTCGTCTTCCTCTGTGTCGCTATGAGTCTAACGGTTGTCTACAGAGTCCAGATGAGGCATCAATCGGTTCATGACTCTGCTTGTATGGCTGTCTTGTGCTTTGGGAGTCAAAATATCGCCTACTTCCACTATCAACACCAACCAGAACCTTGCAACCCGCCAGGGAAGGACTCTTTTAGGCTGTATGGACAATTTCAACCCCCCCCCCCCCCCCCCCCCGGTCGTATGGAGGACTTATATTGGCCACTCAGCATTGGCTAGCCCCCTATTAATATCGCTTCATATAGGCATGGACATACATGGCATTCCATCCACTTTTGCTCGCCCATCGCCATTGTGGTCGGCTGCTCTCAAACCGAGGAGGATCTTAAGATCGCTTTCAAAACAACGAAGGGGTCGAACACATATCAACTCGCGTGTGCAGCCCCAGATGAACAGTTTTAAACTATTCTGGACAGTTTGAACGTGGCCTGTACGAATGTTCCACAAGCTTTATTCACGCAGGTTAACCGCAAACACTTGGCGTTTCTAGGGCTACCCGCAGACGACTGCGCTTGGCTGGAGGAGAATATTCAAGCCTGGTTTACCTCATTGGCCGTGAACTTATCTCGAATCATATCATCATTCTTTTGATAACGAGGTAATTTACAACTGTTGTGCAAAAAGCTAAGGGTTTACAGCTTAGTTTAAACCTGCGATTTATTAAACCAAAGAATCCCTCACAAATCCGTCTTTAATGACAAACGCCTCGTAAGATAGGCTATCAATAAGGCTGGCTTGGCTAACGGGATGACCATCAACGGTTGGATGTGGCGGTTGATTTACAAAAGCGAAGAAAATCCTCACTTTTTGTGGCTGCTCCGGTTCTCCATTTTATTTATATCCTGCTTTTAACAGGTTTCGTGCAGCGCGCATTGTTGGGTGTGGCAGAGTTTTCAAAAGCTTCAAATAATACCTTCGAACGACCTCCACGGGCCACGCTCTAGAGATTCACTAAAACTTAGCCTCTACGACTAACTTGCTCCAACTTCCAAGCTAGTAAAAGTTTAATTCCACAATACTCGTTATATAGACACGCACCACTTATACTAGTCCCTAATGTAATTAGTATATTATTAGATGGGGTTTAGTTAAGTCATATCCCACAGACCTCTCAACAATTCTCAGGGCCTCAGCTATGTATCTATGAAATTCCCCCGGGTATACGGAGTAGAGTATATGTATATAGATAGATATAGATATCCCCCCAGGTATAGAAACCACCAGGTATGGGACTTCCCTCTCAATGTCTCAATATGCGTCTCTATTTCATACAACCAAGATCTTGATTACTAATACAATTAGTTATCATCACTGCGTGCTCATTGTAGCGCTAGTATAAAATACCTATTTGACGTACAAGCCAAGCCACCGCTTTGACTTGGGCCATTTCAGACCAACGCTTCAAAATACCTCCGCTTCTGAGTTTCTGTCTTAAGATGCAGGTCATGCCGCTAGGGCCAAAAGGCGCGATTGAAAGTTGATGGGTGCAGGTTGCATTCTCGTTACTTTAGGTTACGCTCCAGGTTGGTGGGTTGTGACTCTTTCCGCACCTATGTCCAATTGGCGGTGGGCATGCTTCGACAGCTCGCCCAGCATGTTGGCAAGAATACATTAAAATTGGAGTCCTTGTGCTGGGCTGATCGTTGCCTTTGTGTATCTCATGACGTCTCTCAAACTGCCAGTCCCCGTTAACCAATAATCATCTCACCATCTCTCGCGATGTTGGAAAAATGCCGTCCATGGGTGTTGTTGTATCACTCAAAGAATCCCTACTACCAATATCAGCAGATTCCCAACGCTCTCTCATTTTCGCTTTTTCAACCATCTATCAAGTCCCAGTTTTTCCTTGTCAGATATCAGATGCAGAGCTATGTTAACTAGCCTCTCCCTCAGCGGGGCATTTCGACCCTACAATTTTTGCTCCGGTTGAACGGGAAACGATAGTCGAATCCCGAGGTTGAGATAACCCCTCTTTTCTCTCCATTCATGGATGCGAAGACCTTTCCCACGTTCGCGTATTACCTTGAGTATTCGTCAGAGTCTGGGTCGGGCCTAGGTTCAGAGATGTTTTGTTTCCTGCCTTGAGTTTTTACAATACAAGCCTGTGGCGGTTGACCCGTCATCGAAGTAGAAAGGGCCAGGGATTTTATGTAGGATTCATTCTCTTGGCCCTTTCTTTCCTTAACCCAAACCCCCCCACAAGCATTCCCTGGAAGATAAATATCCCGCCGGATGGGATGTTGTGTCATATTATTTCCATTATTCGTCAATCAGAATGCTCTGACTTGAGACCTTTCCCCCTCCAAGGCAACAAAGACAGAAATGTCACTCACTTTCGTTGGGACCCTTGTGATTCTTGTGATCTCTTTTCGCACATAGGCTATAGCCCAGTTCTCCGCGCATTTGATGTTAGAGGGATATAGAGACCGGATAGGATAGAATGCTTGTTTGGGCGGCGGGTGGCGCGCGGAGTACCTGGAATGTAACTCTCTTATGATAGCAATTAAGGATGCCCCTCGTTGCTAATAATAAACTAGAGCAAATACATGGACAATGCATATAGCATGCGCCGGGCAGAGACGGACGAATATTTGTCATATTTACATTTGCCGCCAAAGAACGTTCTCGTTGCTTCTGTGAAGTCGGCGAGTGTTCAGCACATATGGCGAGAGTTTAGTGACTCTAATAATGTATGTTTCGCCGTCGATGGTCTCAAGGAATGTGGGGTAGGGTATCTTTCGGCTGGAGGGCCCTCGGAGAATTTATATCGAGAGATGAGCATGATAAACTGGGTCTTGTCCCTGTCTGTTGGGTAGTTAAACTCAAGGACCCCTCCCAGCCGATAGCCCGTCTAACTCCACCCATCTTGTAAAGTGAATATTTCCGGTTGGGTTTTGGTAGGAGAGCTATAGATAGTCTAGTTCATGCTAAATGCCAATATCAACGTCACCATTTCTCAAAAACAAGCAACATCACTCATTAACCGTATTTTGAAATTTACCCTAGATGCAGACGCAGCCCTCGATTCCTGACCTCGTCTAAGATGTCCTCTGTGATATAATTAGTATGCGTCCCGCCTTCGCCTTTCGGAGCGTGAAGGGATATGTATATCAGATAGGCAAAAAGCTCACGTCAACCAGTGGGTCTCCTTTTGGATTTCATATCCGGCGAATCCAGTAGTAACCATCTCTGCTTAATCGATTATTTATCAATCAGTCCCTAGTGGTGTAGTGGCTAACATCGCTGTCTTTCACACAGCAGCCCAGGGTTCGATTCCCTGCTAGGGAGATGAAATCGTGTTTCTTTTTAATGTTTTCTCTATTTTCTTTTTTCAATATTCTCCTTTTTTTTATTTATTTGCCCAAAGGTTTCCCGTGCCCTCGTCGTTATGTCCCTCTTAACTAAAATTGGGCTCTAATGGGATGAAGGAATCGGCATTCGGATTATCTATATTCCAGCCCTGGATCCTGACTCGGCGGAAGTGTCAAAAAAAAAAGTATGAAGCAAGTACGGAGACGAGACATGAGTTTATTTCTTATTATTGTTTTTCAGAAATTCTTGTTTAATTCCGGACCATCTTGAATGAGGGCCTCCCGAGCTTCGGGTCTTCTGCACACTGGTCGACTTGCATTCTCAAGCCCCCAACAACACTTCCGCAGCCTGACCCGCTTCTCTCGTTGCCCAACGCGCATTGCCTTTTCTGCCAACCCCGCCATCCCTCCATCCCCCCACACTCACCAACAGTGCCTCTATCACGGTAATAACAATAATTCCACAGACGCAATGGGCAAGGAAAAAGTATCTTTCAACCTGAAAACCCCCAAGGGCACCAAGGACTGGTTTGGCTCCGACGGCCTCCTCCGCGATCGGATCTTCAGCACCATCACCGAAGTTTTCAAGCGCCACGGCGCAACCTCCCTTGATACCCCCGTCTTCGAGCTGCGCGATATCCTCGCGGGCAAATATGGCGAAGACTCAAAACTCATATACGACCTGCAAGACCAGGGTGGAGAGCTGTGCTCACTCCGCTACGATCTGACAGTCCCCTTCGCCAGATGGCTCGCCATGAACCCCAATGTGCGCAACATAAAACGCTACCATATCGCCAAGGTATACCGACGTGACCAGCCGGCTATGTCCAAGGGCCGCATGCGCGAGTTTTATCAGTGTGATATCGACTTTGCAGGTGCCAATTATGATCCCATGGTGCCCGACGCGGAGATCCTGAGGATTGCGACTGAGGTGTTTGAGGAGTTGGGATGGAAGGGGAGGTACACTATCAAGATTAACCATCGCAAGATTCTGGATGGGCTCTTCGAGGTCTGCGGTGTGCCGAAGGAGAAGATACGGACTATCTCCAGCGCCGTTGATAAGCTTGACAAGATGCCATGGGCGGACGTGCGGCGGGAAATGGTCGAGGAGAAGGGACTCGATAGCGCCGTTGCGGATAAGATAGAAACATATGTGGTCCAGAAAGGCGGGCGGGAGTTGGTAGAGTCACTACTGTCAGACGAAGCGCTCCTCGCAAACCTATCTGCCAAGACTGGGTTGGAGGAAATGGCCCTCCTGATGGACTATCTCGAAGCATTCGATATTCTGGACAAAATATCTTTCGACATGAGTCTAGCCCGTGGCCTGGATTACTATACAGGTGTTATCTACGAAGTCGTCACAGAAGGATCAGCACCCCCTGCCGCCCCCTCAGCAGGCGAGGAAGCTCAAAAGATACAGAAGAAGAGTAAAGGCAAAGCCAAGAATGATGATGACGATGACCGATCGAATGACCCCTCGATAGGAGTTGGGAGCATTGCTGCTGGTGGCCGATATGACGAGCTTGTTGGTATGTTCTCAAGCAGGGCACAGATTCCCTGCGTAGGCATTTCGTTTGGAGTCGACAGAATTTTTTCAATCACCAAGGCGCGAATGGGAGAGAATAACCGCCCCAACAAGCTCTGCGACGTTGACGTTTACGTTATGGCGTTTGGCGGGAAGGGCTTCACCGGCCTACTCAAGGAGAGAATGGAAGTCGCCAGGAGTCTATGGGATGCTGGCCTTAAGGTAAGGGAAAACAACGGCGCTCGTTAAACTTTTGCATTTGCATATATATGTGCATGTATTACGCTCCCGCTAACACATAACCCCCCGAATCCAGGTCGAATTCTCCTACAAGCGCAAGCCAAAACCCATCCAACAATTCGACGCTGCCGAAGCCAACGCGGTGCCCTTCGCTGTCATTCTTGGCGAGGACGAGCTAGCCGCTGGCCAGGTACGTGTCAAGGAGATGGGACTGGACAAGGGACACCCGGAAAAGGATGGCGTATTGGTTAATCTATCGACGTTAGCGGAGGAAGTAAAGGAGCGATTGGAGCGGAAGAAGACTGCTGCTGCAGCCGCCGCTGCAGCCTCGGCAATTGATGCTGATGAGGCGGGGATTGTGAAGAAGATAGAAGATTTAGATGTTAAGGGGCAATAGAGGGGGTTTGTGCTTCTGCCTGTCCGTAGATGTGGAATTTGGGAGGGAAGACAGGGAGAAAGCAGATCGCTCTACGGTGTCACCCCCGCCCCCTGCACCGTTATTATTTGCGAGATAAATGCATTTTTGCCTTTCGTTCCCGCTGTGTTTTACTATTTCGGATACGTTAAGGTATAGATATGGCCGTAGGTAGTTTTGTCGCCTCTAAGTAGAACTTTAGAATCGTAGATCGATTTCCACAAAGAGATTGTAATGTGCCGTATAATAAATATATATACTATACAAAGGAGATAAATCGTTCTAACAGACCGAGAAAACTATCTTGCCGTTTAGGTTTTAAAACTAAAAATAAAATACAATATGGTATATATATCATTAGGGCTTATTACCTAGCGAGAGAGTAGAGAAATAACCCGCAAGAGCATCTACGCTCCAGCAGCAATCTTCATAATAAAGCCCTTTAGTGAGGGCAAGCGGTCAACCATGTTCAGCCCGAAGCTCCTACCCCATGCAACCGGCCCGTTACCAGCTACATTATACGCTTTATGTAGCAGATCACCCGCCCCACCTATCTTAGCATTGACAAGGTATCGCTCGGCAGCGTACCGTTCCAAACTAAGAAGGTCGCCAATGTCCATACCGTGACGGACCGAGTATTCAATTGCGCGGAAGAGAGAGGCTACATCACCTATGCCGAGATTTAGACCCTGCCCGCCTAGTGGATGAATTACGTGCGCGGCGTCCCCGACTAGGGCGATGCGGGGAGAGATATAGGTTGACGCGTGACGGTGACGGAGGGGGAAAGAGGCTACCGTTCCAGGTTGGACGGAGGTAACGGTTGGTGGGACATAGGATGGGGTTGGGGTGTGTTGAAGTCGCCAGGCCAGTTCATCGGCGTGTTCAGTTGATGGGGCTGCTGAAGCGGGGTCCGTGAAGTCCGTGGGCGACTCTGGTGATGATGAGGAGGGGAGAGTGAACATGTACTTTAAGTCTACCATGGACAATCTGAAAGCAGCGTTCACCATAGCTATAAACGCATCTGCAGGGAGAGATTTGAGATACGCTGCATTCCTTACGGTAGTGGACCAGACTAGGGTAGCGTGGTTGTTGGGGAGTGGGAGGAAAGCGACAGGGCCTCCCAGACCAGGGAGAAAGCGTTGATACGCAGCTCTAATAGGTGGGCCGGTGGTATGCCCCTGTGGGGAAATGTTCAAAGTGGCCACCACGCCGTGGCGGTCGTAGTCCCAGCCATCTGTCGATATGGCCGCGTATGATCGGACGGGGCTGTTTATGCCGTCTGCCCCTACAAGCAGACGAGTGGCAATGGTGGGTGGCGGGGGCAGGTTTGATGTCGGTGAGGTATGTTTAAGGGTCAAAACAGGCCAGGAGGAAAGGTCTGGGCCATCAGTGTAATCCTCCCCATTGTTGATTTCAGACACTGAGGTATTGGAGAAGATGGACACGTCATTCCCCGACGACTCTATACTTGCGATCATACCGCGGGTCAGGTTCAGGTTCTCCGTCATCGTCGCGATAGTTTGCGCGTGTGTTGACCGCGATTCGAGGGACCAGTCAAATGAGATGCTTGCGCCCGTCTCTCCATCCCAAACGTGCATCTCGTGGTATGGCTGCACTCGGGAAATATCCACATGGGCCCATACTCCAATGTCTTTGAGGAATGACACAGAGGAGGGCGTGAGGCTGCTTACGCGATTGGAGAATTGCGTTGCATCTAAATTCCAAGCCCTGGTTTTCGAGAGATCCTGGCTTTCAATCAAGGCAATTCTAAGTTTCGAGGTTACTGGAGAGGACCCTAAAGGACAAAGTCAATTAGTTTCGGGTCCCTGTGAACAAACAAGAAAGACACAAGACATATCCGTACGCAAAGCAGCCACGAGACCCAGGCCTGCGGGTCCTCCGCCGACGCAGACAATATCATAGATGTCTGGGGGTTGACGAGGTCTCGAAGAGGAAGCAAATGCCCGCCTCCCAGGTTGTAGGTGGTGTCTACATGACGGGCAGACGTATAACCGCAGCGCGGAGCGAGACAGTGGTCGCATCTTTAGCACCTCAGCGTCCTCGCCGCCAATTTGCAGGTGTTCAACGGTGATATCAGACCCATCGTCGACGGGGTCGGATATTGACGGGTGCAAACAGGGCAAACTGCGCTAGGAATTGCTTCCATACCGGAAAAACGTAGGCTTATTATACGACCGGGTTATGGTTGTTCCGCTGTGCCAGTCAGTGACACTGTCACTGAACCATAAATCTTAATATAATAATGAATAAGCTGTGAAATCATTGTAAATAAGTTATGAACAGGAAAAAATTATTATTATATTAATAATATCACTGATTTCTATCTATATAATTACTAATTCTAAAAAACATCTTATTTACTGAAATTATTCTCTATTGAAAATCTATTATATTATTATTTAATTTCTCTTAGATTTACTGAATTATATCTATTTTCTTATTATTATTTTCTATTATATTTATATCAGTATTAACATTTATTTCTATGAACTTGTAAATTAATATTAAAGTTTTTAAAGAATTAATATTAATAATTATTAGACTGACTGTGTAATTATATCTGAGATCAGAATTAAACTTTATAGTTATTATATTATCTAAAAGTATTACTTCTGATCATGATTTGTATGTCAGATCACGTGATCTGGCTTACTAATCCTTTCATCATATAACTTTTCACAAGCTAGTAATCTTTCAATTATATAAGCTTTACATCTTTCACAGGTTATGAGACTTGTTTTGTGTAAAATTGCTGTTAATTCAGAATTTCTTGTCAATATACTCATTATTTGAACTACTGCTTCATTTGATACACTCATCAGAAGTTAAAATCATCTTATTCTATCAGTATTGATATGCTTGAGATCTTGATGATTAATAATACTACTGCTCACTTAAAAAAGAGGCTTGCAGAAAATGTATTATATTTGTAAAAAAGTAAGAAAAGAGAATAATATTGACAAGGATTTAATAAACAAATATCAAGATAATGAATTCAATACAATCTTATTCACATACACATTCACAATCTTACATTCTTTTCACTGAATCAGTTGCAGTTGATAATGATGATAATTCTTTACACTTATACTCTGTCAGTGAATATTCTTCTGAAGTCTTTAAAAGCTTCATTGATAAATACTCTGAAACACTCTCTCAATTCAAAGCTGGTTTGAATACAGCTTCTGACACAGTCAGACCAGTCTCTCAATCTACTTGACAGCTTAATAAAGCTGATTCTCATGAAGTCAACAGTTCAGATAAGATAATATCAGATCAACAGATGAAACATCTCAAGATAATACTTAAGATAAACAGGAGAAAGTAAAGAGTCTTAGAACTTGAACTACAACTGAAAAAACTCTGTTAACAGAGATTCTTTACAGATTAATCACAGAATATTAACAATTATTCTGTCATCACATCAACAGTCTGTACAGTCATATGAAATTCTAATCTCAGTGAAAGATTGAAATTCAATCTTTATAAACTGAATAGCTGTGTTGACAAGACAATCTCTCAATTCAAGAAAGATGTCAAGAATACTGTGAGATCAAACAGTCTAACTGATATATTTAATTACATCATATAAAGCATCTTCATGAAATTGAAACTGGTTGATACACAGTGTTAATATATGATAGAGAAACAACAGACTCAGAACTCTCTACAAAGAGATGATAAATGAGTATTATTCTGAGACATCAGAAACTGATGACTCTATACATTCATCTCAAACTTCTTGAGTGCAGGTGTCAGACCATGTTTCTTCAAATATGATGAAAATTGAATCACTTATACTCTATGAAATGTGATTGAACAGAAATACTCTGTTCTCAAAACACAGTTACACTGTGAGACAGTTCTGAAATTCATGTCTCTTGATGACACACAGGTTATTAATCTACACACATTCTTTGATAAGTTCCAATCTGTCATCACAAAATTGAAGATGTTGAATACTTCTCTCTCAGATGCATGAATATTTGATACCTTCTACTCAGTTTCACTCAACAATTGAAGAAATTATGTTCAGAAGAAGATAGAGAAGATACAGGATTTTAAATCCACAGCTGTGATATTGAATGTTGATCTTCTCATGAAGGAAATCTGTTCATAACTTGATTCTTCAAAAGATAAAAAGAATCTACAGAATACAGATTCTGCAGTCAACTCTGCTACAACAGCTACAACAGTAACTACAGCTATAACAATCACTACATCTATCAATTCTAACAACAATACATCGAATTCGGCCCGTGAAGACCGTATCAGACATGATTGTGACAGTTCACAAGAGAGCTTCTGAAATCATCAGAGATTGAGAAATTCATCTATATATTCTGATTGTGAGAGATCTCACTTTAACATCTGTTAATTGATCAATTCAGACAGTGCTCTGAACAATTGAAGAATAAACAATACTGTGAGAATAAAGAAATTCAAGAAAAAGAAGAAAAAGAACAACAGTGAGAGTAGAACTCAACTATTCATTACAGATGAATCAGAGACCTATCAGATGATAAACCTCACAGAGATTATCAATATGCCAGCCTGTTTCATGAAATCACATAAGAATTCTCTCACTATATGAAATAGTGGCACTGGATGCCACATAGCAAGTGATAGATTACAATTTTCAGAACTTATAGTAATTAATGATTCAACAGTTCAAGTGATTAATAAGGCTATTATAAAGATTCAGAGTATCAGCACTAGACTGGCCGCTGAGACCATGAATTTCACGTTTGATCTCATTTGATCTGGTCTCATACATTTCTTGGCGTGAATCCCGCTGGGACTGGCTATCAAAAAAACAGGTAAAGTGACTATATATCAGATCTTAAAATGGAACCATGACTTGAAAAAAATGAGAAAGTGATCTCATTTGGTCCCATTTAGTCCCATTCTTGGCATAAAGTTACTATTTTTAGACATTTTAAGGTTTTTTTTAGACTATTTTTAATTTTTTAAAAAGTAATGCTTTTTGATAATGCTCAAATGAGATTTAAAGTCATTTAAAGCAATAAAAATAATTTAAATTGAGAAGTGGAAATCATGATCTCATTTGAAAAATGTGACAAGAGTAGACAGTAAGTTTCACTGGGACAGTATGAAACTACTATCTAATGTTAAAACCGTGTAATGGGATCAGTCAAATTGATAATGAGACTATCAAAAAATCTGGTTCTGGTCCCAGACACGGTCACACAGTCAGTCTAATCAGCACTATATTCATCTCAGTGAGTGAAAGATTGATAGAATTCAATTATATATACTACATATCAGAACTATCTGCAAATCTAATCTCTGCTAATCTTATAAAATATCAGAGCTATATTCACTGTGATATATAAGTTAATACTGAGAACTACTTTGAGTTTCTATCATCTATCAACAGTAATATCTTCTATATTAATCTGTCTCACAATAATATTTACATTCTATCAGACAGCTCATCAACATTTCATGAAATTATGAAT